CAATTATAACATACTAGTAATTTCATTATATTCTTTTTATTTTCTGAATCTAAAAATTATAGAGAACTTAAATGGAAATAGAAAAATCTAAAAATAAAAAGATACAATAATCCAATGAAATTAGGAACACTTCTTCATAAACAATAATTTGGTTGATTCGACAACAAAATTTTTAAAAAAACAAGAAAAAATCAAAAAAAAAAAGAATTATATTTTATTTCTTGAAGAGAATTATTCCTTCATAAATTAATTAATTTGCAGATTATGTAAAAATTTAAAAAAAAATGGAAGTTAATATAAATATTGGTAATATGGATAGTATAACTTAATATGTTTACCTCTGTTCATAAAAATGACAAATTTCCTTTTGTATTTCAGATTTATCAGAAATTTTGATATATTTTTTATTATAATATAATTATTGATTTGAAAGAATAAAAATAAACAAATTAATAAAATAGTAACATTTAATTCTCAATGAAAGTTTTAATACTTGTCAATTTTTAAGGTATATTGTCTTCAGAGATTTATAAAAAAACGTGTGCATGAAAGATATATTTACATTTTAAAAAGATTAAATAAAGCTAAATGAATAAGATAACTAAAATAAAATAAGATAAACAAAATAGGTAAATTAAATTAATATATTTAAGTAAATAAACAAAAGCATAGCAAATCAAATAAATAAATAAAAATTATTTTTTCCTTCATAAATTTTTATGTTTTTCACTTTTTAAGTATTAAATAAAAAAGGAAAAAAAAAGATCAAAATTTAAAAAAATAATTAATAAAGAAATATCCTTTTTTAATGAATAAGGGTAAATGATTAAACATGCATAAACTTTTTTGATATATATTACATTTTTTTTTTACCTACAACACATATATTTTTCGTTATTTTGAGATTTTTTTGTCTTATCCTATGTTGTAAGTAATGTATAATTTTTTTTTTTTTATATTAGGAAAAAGCAGAAAATAACTAAATATGTTCAATTTAAAAAAAAAAAATGTAATTCAATATACAACTCAATTTTAACTTCTGCATTTCGAAAATTAAAATTTTTTTATTTAAATAAAAAAAAAAGGTTATAACATTTCATAGAAAATTCTAGGGCATTTTCTTGGTTTAATTATATTTATTTCTTATTATTCATATAAAGATCTCCCTTTTTTTTTTTTTTACTGCATGTAATTTATCAGCTAAAAAAATAAAATAACATTAATATGTATCTTTCAATCAATCCTTATAAAAAAAAAAAAAAAAAAGAAGTTAAATTTATAAAAGAATTTATAATACAACAACAACAAAAAAGAAAAAAAAAAGGGCTAAAGTTTATATAAGGATTAATAATACAACAACAAAAAAAAAAAAAAAAAAAAAAAAAAAAAAAAAAAAAAAAAAAAAAGGAGTTAAAAAATGAAAACTTTAGAACAATGTAATTATAAATAATAAAAAGGGATATTAATATATTTGTATTTATTTTTTTTTTTTTTTATTGCTATTCAATTTAATGTTCACAAGGCCTTTCGATGTCTCATTTACAGAATAATGATATATATAATGTCTATAATTTTTCTTTTTCAAATTTTCGCAGCTTCAATTAATTCTTATCCTAATGATTAATGTATAAATTTATTTATTTCATTTTTTTTTTTTTTTTTTTTTTTTTTTTTTGTTTGTGTAGAAATTTATTCTCATCTTTTTTTTTTTATGATGATTTTTTTATATATAATATCTAATATATTATAAAGTGACATTAAAATAATACTTCTGATTTAAATTTTTTTTTTTTGTCTATAAAAATTGCTACCTTATTAGTTGAAACAAGATTTTTTTATTTTTTATTTTACTTCATAGAAAAGTGTATATTAATATAATTTTTTTTTTAATTTTATTTAGAAAAAATCACTTAATTATAGTTTCATGTATATTTAATATTTTAATGCTTAATAAAATCTTAAAAAAGAAAAAAAAATATAAACAAATTTTATTTGATATTTAAGTTTATATATAGTTTAATTCTTAACATTATATATATAATTCCAATGTATAACTAATTTTATTTCTAAACAAGTTATAAAAAAAAATTTAGTTATGTACAGTTTGTTTATATTTTATAAAAGAGAGATATGGAGATATATTTTTTTCTTTATAGAAATATAAAAACTTTATTTTTATTTATTTTTTGTGCTTTTGTTTACACTATATATAAATTTACATATATGCTTATGTTGTCCTATTGAATTTTATTCTACTTTCTTCCATTTTTTCCCTTTCACATTTCATTTAAAATACATTTAATTAAACCATTTTTCTTCAATTAAATAATAACATAAAATATTTTTTTTTTTTTTTTATTGTTTTTATCTTTTTAATAATATACTTTTCATCTATACATACAAAAAAAAACATATTCATTTTTCATTATATTTTTCATAAGCATAGAATTATTGTAACAATTATAACAATAAAAATTATCATTTCTATATTGTTTTTAGTTGATTTATATTATCCCACCATTTGAAATGACCTCCATAAAACTGCGATTACATTCTTTCTTTCCTTAGCTTATTAACTTTATTTTGTTTTTTTCTATCTTTTTTTCTATTTTTTTGTCTCATTAAATACAGCATGCATAAAGAGATTAATGAACAATTTATGATATTTCATTTATATTGTAATAACATTTAATTTAAAACATAAAACATTATAATATGATTGTTTTATTTTTATAAAAAGAATATATATATATATATATATATACATATATATATATATATATACATATATATATATGTATATATATATATATATTTGATTTTATATTATTTTGATTAGTTAATTTTATCATTTAAAATGATATGATTTTTTTTTTTTTTTTTTATATAAACTAAATATCATTCATTTGTAAATAGAACATATACTGGGAAATCACTTTTTTTTTTTCTTCTTAAATATTGTTTAATAATTTCAAAGAAAATATAAATAAAATTACATTTCTTTCATTTTATGCTAAAAATTTTTTATTATAAATAATATAATGTTTCTTTTTATGAAAGGTCTTATGTACGTTCAAAAGTATTTATGCTTTCATATTTAAAATAAGCTGGGGATTTTCATTTGTAAAAATTAGGAAAGAATTAATTCATTTCATTCTATTTTTAATTTATCATGTTTTTTTTTAGTATTATATAAAATACTTGTTTTTAATAATTGTAAAATTTTTTATTTTAATATAAAGACATAATATATTAACTAAAAAAATATTACTTGTTTTAGTTATCTGTGATAATCCTACAATTGATCTTTTTTTAGCTAATAACTTTTATATATATCAAATAAATACATTTATACAGTACATTTAAAGAAATTTTTTATTCTTTATAATTTTAATATACATTTTATTAATAATATATATATATTTTTTAATGAAATTTCAAATTTCATATTTGTCAACTTATAAATATTATATATTTATATATATAATATATTTATAAACATATATATATATATATATATATTTTTATGTATGTATGTATTCATAATATGTTTATTTTTATAATTAAATTTAAATATAAATAAAAGGTAACGCTTGTATAAAACAGCTTTAAAACAAATTGACTTATTTTGTTTTATTTTATCTTTTTTTTTTTTTCTTGTTAATGTGTAAATATTGTTAATATAATCTTTTAATAGTTTACCTTATTAATTTTCTCTAATAATATTACATTAATTATATACTTTATATTTTAATATATATACTGTGTTATTTTATATATGTATATATATCTTTTGTAAATGAGAACTAAAACTTTTTAATTATTTTGTTAACTTTATTTACCTTGTTTAAAAAGAAGAAAAAAAAAAAAATTTAAAGGATTTTAAACCTTTATGCCTAATAACTATATGGATTATTAAAAAAAAATTACATATGTATATAAATAAATATTTGTCTACATAATCGATATTACATGTAAATATATATATGCATATAAAGAAAATGATGCAGGTGGATAAAGTACAGATGAAAAATTTTTAGTATAAAAAAAACAATAATCTTTTTATTAAATATAAAAGAAACATATGTATATGTGAAGATAATTTTGTATGATATATAACTGTAACATATTATTTAAAAATATTTAAAAAAAAATATAGGTTTTCTCAAAATAGCTTTTTTCTATATTTTGATTCTCTTATAGAATTTAAGAAGACTATTTTTTCTTTTCTTAAACCTTTTTTGATATGTGAAGAGATTTTTTAAATTGACAAATATTACAAAAATTTGATGAAAAGAAATTTTTGTGAAAAAAACTTTTCTGTAACATTTCTTTTTAATTTGTATATTTATTTTTTTTTCTTTATTTATCTTATTAAAATGGAAAACTTTCTTAATTCATCTTTTGTTTTAGTATAAATAAAAATAATAGAAAATAAAATTAACAAGAATATATATGTTTTAAGGAATAAAGAAAATTATATATATATATATATATATATATGTTTATATTTATGTCCACATATCTAAATTTCTTTTTTTTCATGCAATTAATAGACATTTTATAATATACTGCTGTTATTTACATGCATTGAAATATAAAAGTTTTGAATGAATAAAATACATTTTTTATTTATTTCAATATAGTTTTCATTTGTTTTACTTTATATCTTTTAATATATTTTTTTTTTGTAGAATTTGGATAATAAAAAAGAAGATTTGAAAATTGAAGATAAAAAAAAATCATCAGGTAGCATTAAGGACTTCACTGAAGATTTTTCGATCTTACAGAAAAATAACAATTTGTATTATGATAATAATTTTGACAAAAAAAACAATACATCCAAAAATGTAACATCAAACGTTATATGTTCTAATTCTGAAAATGAATATTCGATAAAAAAAAAAAATGTTAAATCTGTTAACTTAATTCAAAAAGGTTTTAGCAATTACAATAATGCATATAAAAATGATATTCTATTAAATAGTAATTGGTTTTTAATGAATAAAGAAACTAGTGAAACTTTTAAAAATGAAATAATATATGATGATCATGAAAGAATTATGAATAATGAATATTATGATAAAAAATGTGACTTGAACAAAAATATCGAAAAAAATAATACTACAAATGAAATTAATAAATATTGCGATATCAACACTATAAAGGATTATAATTATTCAAAAAACGTTAAAGATCAAGTTACGAGTTATTTTCGCGCATGTAAGCAAGGAAATAAAAAAAATAATACATTGCATTTACTCGATATGCATAAAAATAGAAAAAATATGGTTTATAATGGTTTTTTGAATAAGTATCACTTACATAAAAAAATAAACATTAAGAGTAAAAATATTAAAAAAAAAAAAAAAAAATTTCTAAAAAAATATGCAATTGATAATAGTATAAAAGATAATAACAATTATGGGAATATCAAAGATAATTTGATAAAAGGTAAAAATGATTCTGAAAATTTTACTGAGAATACAAATTTCGATTTTCATTGCAACGAAATAGAAAATAATAAACTTTTAGATAACAATTATTTAAAAAATATAGAAAGAAAAAAAAATATAAATTTAAAAATAAAAAAAAATAATAATTTTAATTATCTAAAAATTGAAAATAATAAAAAAGTTAAAAAAGAAAATTTAACTATAGATGATACTAATAATTTATTTAAACTAAGTGCTTCCAAATGTATTAATTGGGAAAAAAAAAATAATAATTTAAATTTATCATTCCATAAAAACGATTATGCAAGTGAGAATTTTCCACTTCATTTAAAAAAAGAACAAATATATGTCGAACTTTTTAATAAAAAAAAAGTAAAAAAAAAAAAAAATAAAATAAAAAAAAGAAACAATAAAAAAAAAAGTTCCACGATGATTATCAGTAATAACAAGGAAAGAGAAAACATTAATATATTTAATTTGTTAAATGAAAATAAGAATATTATTGGATATATTGACGTTAATGAAAATCAATATGAACATGCAAAAAAAAAAAACAACAAAGAAAAAACAAATTTAGATCAAAAAAATCTTCCTAATGAAAATATAAACGAAATTGTTAATAATCGAGAAAATCATTTAGAAAACTTTAAAAAAAATAGTAAAAATGGAAAATTAGAAATAAATTTTTTTTCTGAAGAAAAAAAGAAAAAAAAATTTAACAGTCAGGTAGATTTAATGTATAATGTCAACAATTATTTAAATTCTTTAAAAACAGATCTTAATAAAAAGAAAAAAGAAGAAATAAGTTGGAATGAAGATAACAATAAAAATTCTAACTATTTAGATAAAAACAAACATGATTTATTGGATAAGAGAAAAAATAACGAACAAGATAAACTACACAGTGATATCAATCAAAGTAAATTAAAAAATAAAATAAATTATTCAACTTCTATAATAGATAAAAGAAGTAAAAAGAAAGAAATGAATTGTATGTCGTTATGTGAAAGCAATTATTTCAAAAAAAAATATGTATTAAATAATATCCATGATCTGCATAAATGTATGAAGGAAGAGAAAAAAGAAGAAAAGGAAGAAAATGATAATGAAAATGGAAAAGAAAATAAAAATGAAATGGAGAATTGCTATAAAAAAAAAAAAAAAAGTTTTACAGAATGCAATAGGCAGTTCTTTGAAAGTTTTCGAGATAAAACAAATGAAATTTCAAAGATAAATGAAGAAAAAGAGGGCATTTATTGTAATAAAAAAGAAAAGCAAATCAATGCATATAATAATAAAATAATAAAAGAGAAAGAAGAAAAAGAAAATAAAGAAAAAAATAGCAAAGTTTACTTTAAAATTAACGAACTTCACAAAGAAGAAATAGAAATGAGATATACTAAAGAAAATAATATAAAATGTATAGAACAAAGAGTAGATAATTCAGAAAATATTGAAAAAAATAATGATAAAGAAAATAAAAAAAACAAAATGAATATTATTAAAAAAGAAATAATTAATTATGATAAAATGGAAGAGCATGATGACAAAAACAAAAATGAAAAAAGCTCAGAAAATGATGAAATATATATGATAAAACAAGAAAAAAATAGATTCAAAAATAATATATCACCAGAAATAGAAATTATAGAAAATTTAGAAGAGATAAAATTAAACGAAAATTTCAACGAACAAAATATAAATAATTGTCATATAGAAAAAATAGAATTAAAAAAGAGATATGAAAATACATTGGATGAAAAAAATAATTTAAAAGACACAGATAAAATAGATAATCAGAATTTAGATAAAAAAGAAATATTTTGTAATAATGATGAAAATAATAGTATGAATGAGGATGAAATAATTAATGAAGAAATACAAAAGCATATAAGTTATATAATGGAAAATGATGATATTGATATTTCAAAAATAAACATAAAAACTAAAAAAAATTATATTAAAATAATATTTTTTTTAAATCAATATATATTAAAATATGAAGAATTTCAAAATAGTGAATTATTATTTTGTTTTGGAGAATCAAGTGAAGAAGAAATTATTTCAGAAAAAAATGCAAAGAAAGAAAAGGAATTTGAATTAAAAAAAAACAGTTCACTTACGATAAATAAAAAAAAAAATAGGCAACAGAAAAATAGAAAAATAAATTACGACGCTGTTGATACTATGTGGCAACCACATTTTCATCCCCATAATCAAGAATTTCGTGTTCGATATAGATATAAAGGAAGTATGAGACTGAAAACAATTTCTTGTAAATGTTTTGGTTATTTAACCAGTAAAAAAATATCTGTTTTATTTTTATTCAGATGGATATTATGCGGAAAATACATTGCCGAAAAGACAAAAAGGTCAAGATTAAGCATTAGTGACATAAATGAAAGTAAATTACAAGAACTTTTAACAAAAAAAAAGAAAAAAAAAATGTGGCACGATGATGAAGAATCAAAGCAAGAAAGTAAGGAAAAAAAAAAGGAATTTTATACAGATATAAATAAAATTAATAATTTTTTTTTAAATAATTATAAGGATGAGAACTTTCTTAATAAAATAAAAAATATTATAAAAAATTACGATAGCAAACAAAATAAAGAAGATGTATTAAATAAGTTAAATAAGTGTTTTTTAGATAAATTATTTGCAGATAAGGAAGAAACATATTTAAAATATTTTAAAAATGGAAAAAAAATAGAGGAACATCCTATTAATAGTGATGATAATATTCATGATCATTTTTGTAATAATAACAATAATGATAATAACGATTATGACGTTGATAGCAATAATAACAATAAATGTAATAATAATGATAATAATAATAATGACAGAAGTAACAACAATGTTAGTAATAATAATATTAATACTAATATAAATAATAAAACTAACATTAGTAGTAATAGTAATACTAATATTAAAACTGACACTAATACGAATAATAAAAATAATATTAATAATAACAATAAAACTAATAGTAGTACTAATATTAATACTAATATTAATACTAATACCGATATTAATACATATATTAATAATAATTCTACTTTTACTATTACTAATAATAACAGTAATAACAATAATAAGAATATTATTAATAATATTAATCATAAAAGTAATAATGATAATAATGATATTAGTAACATTGCTATCTACAATAAAGTTAATGATAATAATAATGATGTTATCTATAATAATAATAATATTGATAATAATAATGAAAATAATGAAAAAGAACATTTTTTAAAAAGTATCAATAAGAATATAATTAAAGAAAATATTAATGCAACAAAAAAAACATGTAGTAAGCAGAAATTAAAAGATGATATAAAAATTAAAGGAGATAAATTATATAACATAGGTACATCAAATAATAACCATATCTATGATTTCGATAATAAAGAATTAAATAATGAAAGAAATAAAAATTATATAAATAATATTAACCTTAAAACAGACAAGAATAGTATGAATACTGTTTATAATTTTCAAAGTAATAGTAGTTATAACAGTAATAAATATAATGGGAATAATAACAACAAAATTTTTATTAATGAAAATAAAAATATCATAGATAATTCTAATATTTTTAAAAATACATCTCATAACAATTTAAATTATCCTTCTTTAATTTTAGAAAAGTTATCCAATAAGAATGAGATTAATGAATATAATAACTCTCTAATAGAACTGAAGAAGTCAATATATATAAAAAACAAGAATGACAATTTAGATAAAATAAAATATTCTAGCATTAATGACAAATTTATGGAATTATTAAATAAGGAATCTGTTTTAAATAGTCTTAAATTGAATAATAATTCATGTAATAAGAATTCAAAGGAAGATAATTCATATTTGTATGCTATTTATTACGCAAACAAATGTAAAATAAACAAAAACACTTCTTTTAATATTAGAAATAATTCAGATATTTTAACATATGATTCATATTCTCACACAAATAATCAAAGAAACTTAATATTTAACAGAAATAACAGCAATAGTACAAAAAGACTAAGTAACGTTTCAACATGTCCAAGTTTATGCAAAAACACTTCATCTTTATGTTCGATTTTACAAGATGAAAACTATTGTTTATGTTGTTCTTTATCTAACAAAAAAAATGAATATAATAAAGACGTTGTTAATGATGAAAATCATTTAAAAGATCAATTAAAAAAAAAACAACTAAATTTAATGGAAACATGTGAAATACTTCATTCATTCTCGGAAAAATCTCCAAAATTAAATTCTACAGAAAAAAAAATATTTTATAAGGAGAAAAATAATATAACTTGTAATGAAAATAATAATTATGACGATAACTTTTGCTTGGATAATTTATCATATGATTGTATGAATAAAATACTTTTTAAAAATAATAATAAAGTTAATAACAACAGTGAGTGTGATTATAAAAATTGTAATAATAAATTGTTCTCATCTAATGATTCTTTTACACTTAATAATAACATTAAAAACGTTAAAACCAATTCAAATAATAAAAAGGAAAACAGAGATTCTGTTTTTAGTAAAAAAAATAAAACCTCTTCCAATGAAAAAATAAATAACATTAATGAAGTTTTTCAAAAAAACAATAAATTAAGTCATATAAATCCTTACTCTTTTAATGATAGCATGAAGGTTGTAACACCAGAAAGAAAAGATGATTCAAACTGTTTTTACTGTCCTTATATTGATAATGTAAATGATGAGTTTAAAATACATAACAAAAATTTATGTACAATAAATAAATGCACAGAGGATGACAATATTAAACTTTATCAGAATAATAATAAAGTGAATATAATAGAAGAAAATAAAAATAATACATGCTGTGAATACTGCAATTTTTATAATAAAATTTTCATTTTAGATGAAGACAAAAGATTAAATGAAAGAAATTATGAAAATTTAATGAATAATAAAATAAATAATTATAAAATTAATAGTAGTGAAGACACTTTAAAATATAACAAAAAAGATATTACTGAAAATAAAGAAAAAATAAATATTTATATTAACGAGGAAAATAATTATAATGACAATGAAGAAATAAATGACAATGATGAAAATATCAATATTAATGGTAATAAAAGTAATAAAGTATATGATGATAATAAAATGAAAATAAAAGAAATACATAATTTTGACAGAAAAAATTGTAAAATAGACAAAGATGAAGTTGAAGAAATAAAATATAGTAAAAACCGTGATATTGAAAATAACATAAATAAATTCATCAAAAATCACATTAACAATAAAAAAGGAGGAATAATGAATATTTTTTTTAATGAATTATTCAATTCTACAAAAAATATTAGCACTAACAAGGAAAATAATAGTGTTATATCGGGTAATGAAAATGAAAAAAAACAAGAAAATAATATAATTGGAAATTGTCTTTTTAAAAAGAACAATTTAAATAAAGAATATCAAAACTTATATTACAATAATACATCTAACAACTTTTTGAGAAGTGAAATAAAAGGAATTGAAAACAGCCATCAAAATAAACTCGAAGCTAATAACAAATCAAATTTAATTATTAATGAAAAAAGTTTTGAGTTAATAAAAAATTTTATTAAAGAAGTTAAAGGAAAAAAATATAATAATAATAGAGATAATAATAATGATGATAATGAAAATAATGATAGAAATAATAATAATACAAGCAACATCATATGCTATCATGAATCACTAAAACAAAATTTTAATAAATCAAGAAACAGAAACAATTTTAATAATTTACCACTTGATAATTCCATTAATAATATAAGTGATAATATTGAAGATTGCATAAAAAACAAATTATCCATTCCTATAAATAAAAAAATGAAATGTAAAGAAAATAAATTCCTAAACTGCCATAATAATATAAATGAAGAGAAAGATATATATAAAAATAAAAATCCTTTAAATACTGAAGACTATTCATACGTAATCGATAATCTTAATTTTTTAAAAGAAAGCAATATAAATGATTACTTTAAATCATTTTACCAATTTAAAAATAATAAAAATTTTAATTCATGCAATAAAAAAGACATATACTTCGAGTAATCATATGTCGAAAATTAAATATACTAAAATATACCAATAAAAAATATATAAAAAGAGAAAAAATTATAAAACAAATATATCAAGCATATATATAAATTTTAATGTATAATATATTCAATATATTTTTATTTCGATGCTATTGTACTTTTTAAAAGTAATACATATATATATATATGTACGTATAATTATATATATAAATATATATATTTTATTTATATTTGTTTAACATGGAAAATTCTATAATTTTTTATGTTAAAAAATGTATACAGTTTCTTTATAGATTGATGTAAAATTTTTTGTTTTTTTAAATATCAAAATAAAAAAAAAAAAATATATTTATTAATTTACATTTTTTTTTAAATACTCGCAAAATTCTTTAATTTTAAAAAATGAGTAAATTTTTAAAAAAAACTGTTTTTTTTTTTTTTTTTTTTTTTTTTTTTTTTTTTTGCGATAAATTTGTTTAATCTACTGATTGTTTTAATTTTAATAATATATATACACACTTTAAGAATTGATTTTTACATTTTTATTGATTTTAAAACTTATTATTAAAAACCATTTATTATATAATACCGCTTCCCCTTATCACTTATGTTCATTTTACATAGTTTTATTTTGTTCCTTAATTTTATTTTACTTTTTTAATTTTTACAAAGATTAAAACTTGAAAAAATATTCCTAATTACCATAAAAAAAAAAAAAAAATAAGAAAATGATTTCACTTATCTATTTTTATACTGGGTATATATTTAATAAATTAATATATAAATAAGTTAATATGTTATTGTTGTAATAAAACATATACTGTATTTCTATAACGTCAGAAAAAAGTAAACAGAAATAATATTTCTAAAATTTATTTTTGTAAATATTTTATTATATTTTTTATAAAGAAACTAATTGTTTTATTATCAAAAATTCAATTTTGCTAAGAACTATTTTAATAGAAATTTTTTTTTTTTTAACACTTAGTAAAAATTAGGATGTTGATGAATTCATTAAAAATTAAAAAGAATATGATACGTGTTAAACATTTCAATTTTTTTTTTTATTTACACTTTTTTCGAATTTAAATAAAACGTAATGCAATATGATAAAATAAAATAAAATAAAATGTATTAATTTCTTATATTATGAAATTTTATATAAATATAAAAAAAAAAAAAATAAAATAAAATATTAACAAAGTAGACATAATGGAAATTTGTATTAGAAAGAAAATATAAATAAGTATGTGACTTTAAAAAATAGATAAATTTTTCTATTTTTAAGGATGCTATTATATTTTATTTTAACAATAAGCATTTATATTAGTAATTAATATGTTATATTAATTTAAAGAATAAGTGTATGATTTTTAATAAATTTTGATGATTATTAAATATTACTGATAATCATCTATTCCATAAAATTTTTTTTTTTTTTTAATGTTCTTTTTTTATATTGAATATGCTTTTTTTTTTATTATATAATGTTTTTACTTTATAATTATTTTATTTATTTTTCTAATTTATTTTATTTTTATTTTTTTTTATTTTATTTTTTTTTTTTTTACGATTCAATATTATGTATAAAAATAGATGGATTTCCTGGATTAGCTAATTTATGAATATCTGTATTATCAATTTCGCACTTTTTAGTATTTTCTAAAACTTGAATATCTCCTAAATGTAAACTTCTTTTAATAAAATCAACATTCTTTTTTATTAATTGAATTTCATCATATGGAAGAGTTAACTCATATTGATTATTATTTAAAGTAACATTGTCTTTAACTAAAAATGTAGCAAAACTTAGAATGTCTTTCTTTTCATTTTTTGGAAGATTATTAACATAATCATTTTGTACAAGTAAATTTATATAATTTGCAGGTAGTTTTTTGTCTTCACTAATGTTTATAATATTATTTAGAATTTCAATAATTTTTTTTTGTGTATCATTATATTCTCTTGCAACATAAACTACTGCTTTGAATTTCATACCCTCTTCTTCATCTTCTTTACAATTCTCTTCATTGTTTTCGTTTTCATTATTTTCTGAATCATTCCTTTTTGTGTTTTTATTCTCTTCTATATCATTTGAATTATTTTTTTCATCATTCATTTTATTTTTTATATTCTTTTTTTCATTAGAGTAGTTTTGGTTATTTTTTGTTTTTTGTTTATTATTCTTGTTGATAACTTTATCATAAGATTTTCGAAAATTTTCTACAACATTTAGTAAATTATTATATTGTTTATGCATAACAATTGAAAAATTTGTGTTATCATTAGATGGCCATTTTTGCTTTATTAAAAACTTTTCTTTTTTTAAAATATATGTCCATATATGCTCAGTTACATGTGGTATAATTGGGTTAATAATAATACAAATTCTTTCAATAAAAAAATTAACAGTTTCTTTGTGCATATGAATTTTATCACACATAATTCTGTATGTATCTCTTTTTAGAAGCATATCATAAAAACCATATTTTAATACATCTCGAAATAACAATTTTTCATAAGACTCTTTACATTTATTGGTTAAATAATTTATTTCATTTTCAAATATTAAATCATTAAAAGTTTTTTCTCCACATCTAAATATATAAACATTATTTTTTGTTTCTATACAAAAATTTATTAAATTATATAATTTCATGATAGCGCTATTTGCTGTGTCTGTGTTAAAATTAGCATCTTCTATTGAATCACCCGCATCAGCTAAGGCAATTCTTGTACCATCACTTGTATATAAAGATATACTTTTTTCAATAGTTATAAAATTTCCTTTACTTTTAGACATTTTTTCTTTATTAATTAATACATGACCATTGCAAAAAAATGATTTAGGAAAATATTTGATAGTTTCATAATTATCTAAATCCAATTGTTCTATTTCATTTAATATTTCATTTTGTTTATCTAATATACTTTTTTCTTCTAAATATTCTTTATTTGAATTATAAACTTTTTTTCCCCATATAGCTACATGATTAAACAAAGCCATAGTTAAATGATTGAAAATCAAATCCTTCCCCGATATTCTTACATCAAATGGATACCAATATTGAAATTCTCTTCTCATTTTAAGTAGTTTTTCTTTTGTTATATTTTTATTTATTTTGCTTGTATCATCACTAATATCAAAAACGTAATCAAAAAATGCATCATTAATATCGTTAGCATCAATATCTAACAAACCTCTAGTTTTTCCATCTACACTACCTTGTAAGAAATGACTTATAGTGTAGTAAGCCATATATATAGTTGAATCTGACAAGCTTTCTATTAATTCTTTTTCTTTTTTCATGTTTTCTTCACTTATTTTATTAGAAGTAAGTTTTATTTCATTTGTATTGTTTCCTTTAATGGCATTATTTACTTTTTCATCTTCTATAGATTGATTATTTATTTTTTTTTCAAAAGATTCATCATTTGAATAATTTATTTTAACATTATTAAAATCGGGCATATGTGTACCTAATCCGTATGATCTACTACAAGACCAATCATCAAGCCAAAAAATAACATGCTGTAATTGTTTATATAAAACATCATTATATGTTTGAAAATTGCTCTTTTTTAATTGTATTAAAACATCCTTCTTAAATTCCAAATTTCCATAATTAATATACCACTGATTACATAGTGCTGCAATACATTTCACATTGTTTCTGTCTATTACTAGAACTTCTGGTTCACTATATAAAAATCCTTCATTGTTTTTGATAATATATTGCTTTGCTAATTTTCTACAGTTGAATGTTTTCATACCATAATAAGGTTCTACTTTCATTATTCCTTCAAAGTATTGTTTTTTATATAAAACTTCTTTAATTTTTTGCAATTTTGCATCCTTATAAGAAGAAATTTTTTCTAACTCATAATAATATTTTCCACTATTCGTTCCAATATCTGGTAATTCTATACAAGAAAAACTTTCATTGTTTAAATATTCTTCTCTTATATTGTATTTTTCACAATAATAATTTTTTTTTTTTTTTATATCTTCTAAGCATGCATAGTCATCTGTACTATCACTTGATACACAAGGAACAATAGCAGTAGATATATTCATTTTAATAGTAGTCATAGGCAAAATATATAAATTTTTTATTTTGGATAAATTTGTATATGTTCTTAAACCAATCAGATGTTCTCCTTTTATCTTACTTAAAATAAAAATATCATTAAGATTATTGATTTTATCAAACTTATTATTATTACTGTTGTTATTTTCTTTTGTCCATTTATTTTCAATTAACATTAATGGAATTATTCCTTGATAAGCCAAATTATATAAACTATTTTCTGAACAAATATAAATATTTTCACATCTTTTTACCATTTCTTCTTTGCTTAATATATTATTTACGTAACTTTTGTTTCCATAATGTAGCATTTGCTTATCAAATCCAAAAGTTACATAATAATATTCATTTGGATTTATGAAAGTGTAATTTTGACCATAAGCTGTTTCTGGCTTTAGAGTACTTCCTAATAGAATGATTTTTTTCTTTTCAAAAAATTTTTCGTCAAAAATTTGATCTTTTAAATATTCTTCTCCTTTTTCAAATGTAGAAGTAGAATTTAAATTTTTCATAAAAATGTCAAAAAATTCTTTATTATCATGAACATATATTTTAATTAATGTATATTCCTGGCATTTCACTCCTTCTCCTTCTGATCTTTCATGATCAGCACAAGCTTGGTTGTTAACTCTACTAAATATAGTAATTCTACTTCCATAATATATGAGATTTTTTTTATATAATCTATTAAATTGCCAATTAACAAATTTATCATAATAAGGATTAATATTAGTAGTAATAAATGATCTCCTCCAATCGCAACAAAGACCAAATGAATTTAAATGTTCTTTAGCTTTAGTAGAAAAATAATAACACCAATATTCCGGATTTTGAAACAAGGAAATTTCTTCATCGGTTATATTCATTTGTTTCATAATTTCATATTGAGTAGTCTGATTAGAACCTTTCGATTGAGCTTTACTTTTATTTGATCTAAATACAGTTACATCTATATTCTTTTTATTATTTTCTTCATCATCTTTTTTTTTTTTTTCTTCATTATTATTTATTTCATTTTTCTCTATTCCACTATTTACCATATTTTTTGTCTCATTCTTTAATTTATCAGCACATACAACAATTGGTGTACCAGTACAGTGAAATGAAAAAGGTAACAACACATTATCACATATCATATTTTTATATCTAACTAAAAAATCTAATTTACTTAAGGTAAAAGCATGACCTATATGTAGTAATCCATTCATATAAGGGTATGGAAAATTTCCTGTAAATTTCTTTTCATTGTTATCAACAAAATCTCTTTCATAAATATTATGCTCTTTCCATAAATTTTGAATATTTTTTTCTATATTTAATATATTCATTCGACGTGCCATTTTTAAATTAAAAATTTATATCTATATATATATATCTATATCTATCTATATATATATATATATATATCTATATCTATTTCTATATATTTATATATATATAGTTAGATATAGATATAAATATAAATAAATATATATGTAACAAAGTGCGACAAAATATCAAAAATATTATTCAAGTAATAATTAAATTTAAAACTTAATTTTAAATATATATATAAATTAATTATAACAAAAAACAAAACAAATATAAAGAAAACACTAAATATCTTCAAAATATATTCACATAAATATAAAAATATATAGAATCCTATAAAATTATAACACAAAATTTTCTTTAAAAATATCCCTTTATATTAGAATAGTATATATAAGAAATAAAAAAAAAAATTATTTTTGGAAAAATTTGTTTAAAAAATAAAACTTAATAAAAAGGCATGAACAAAAAAAAAGTGTAATAAATAAGGTTAAAGTTTCATAAATGCTGATTTCAAAAAATTAAACAATTTTTTTTATAAAAATTAAAGTATTTATTATTTTATTTTTACATTATTTAAAAGAATTAAAATTTATACTTTATTTTATTATATTTTTTTTTTTAATTCTTATGTAATAATTTCCCTTTTTCTACTTTTTTTTATTCCATTTTTTTTTTTCAATTTTTTTTTTTTTTTAATCTACGTACTCTATGCTTTTTCTGCATGATGTATATATTTATATGTTTTTTTTAATAATATTTTCGTATTTTTTTATATTTTTGTTTTTGCTACATAATTTTTTATTAACTTATAAATTTCTTTTTCGTGCCATTTTTTTCAATTTTAAAGAGAAATACCTTTTTTTTATTTGTGTCGTATATACACAATTTTAAATTATATATATATATTATTTATATATATATTTATAATGTATATATTTTTTTTTTTTTTTTTGTTATAATCTTCAATTTTCATTTGTTTTTACTTAAGGGCTATCATTATCTTTTACAATGTATTTCAATATTAAAAGCAAGAAAAAAAATTCAAGGTTAATTTAATTATCCTTTTTTTTTAAAAGACTTTAAAATAGTTTTATTTAATTCATTTTTATTCCTTATATTTATAGAATTCTGAATGCATTAATTTAATTAAATTATTTATCTTACATTCTTTTTTTTTTTTTTTTTTTTTTTTTTTTTTTTTCAACATTTTTTTTTTTTTTA